GGTGGTGATGAGTCATAATACTACCCAGTTAGCTGTTCAGACCTCGATAGTTGGAAAGAGGGTGTTCGAACTCATGGTTTACTAGTTGAAAGGTGAGTACCTCAGACAACAATGAACTTCAGCTTCAGTAAATAAGAAGTACACAATTCTTAACCATATATGGTTAGCATAAGCACAACTCTTTTGAGTAGGACTCAAGAAAAATGTTAATCAACTAGATAAAATATACCTTTTACCCTATAAATGGCTTTCCTAACATGACAATGAGATGCTTGACAAACCAAATTGCAGCTCAAAAAACAATTCTATCTGAAAATTCAACTCCATAGCTATAAATATTCCCTACTATATTACGTGTCGCTACCGAACAAGATATGTTACTAAGTCAAAGCTTTCTCAGTGTTACTGTTGCTTTTTTTATCTAAGTGTTTTACAAGTGTAATACAAGCAATAACACTAAAGCTATACCCGTTGCACAAGAAGTGGCTATCGTGGCTCGGTGGTGTAGTGGATAACGCGCTGGCGTTTGAAGCGATCGCTCCCGAATTTGAGTCCCGGTGGGGACAACATCACTCACTGGGAAGCAGGTACATCCAGCTAACGAGTCCCAAATAGGACGAGATGCGCATCCTGGGTTCCACTGCCCATCATTATGAATCTCATTCTCTTGATTTTCCTGTTGCGTGAAAATGCTGGTAACATTTAGGACCTTATACAGACCATTGAGCAGATATCTGAGTATTCTTGACATGGGTTTCACACCAGTCAAGCAAAAGATGTCGCTCCAAGACTAGTCTGTAACTACTCCAGTTGATGATAGAGAGAGAGAGGGGGGAGAATGAGTTCACCAGTTTACTTACTTCGAGAGATGTATTAGTCTGCACGACTCGGTTTCCGACAAAATCTTAGCTCGTTTTGCACTTGCTAACTTGTGTCATCTCTGTCGCTGACTGGCGAGATATCCTACTATATATGAAAGGATGGGCATCAATCAACCAATATCAACATAGGACAAGGCATTACTACGTGACTGTCCGAGTTGCCACCCCTCATATCACTACATCAAGTGGAAACGTAGTGACGTGAAGGATGAAGATGAGAGAATGCAGTCAAAAGAAATGTAAAGTACTAAAAGAGAGAGAGAGAGAGAGAGAGAGAGAGAGGAAGAATGAGAAAGTGATGAGATCCGATATAGCCATCAAGATGAGGATAATGTGTGTGGGGATACATCTGAGCCACTGACATCGGTTCTGAGCCATACGCATACTACGCTGCAGTTCATTTTGTCCTGTTATACGGCTGTGAGACATGACTGTTGAAAATAGAAGACATAAAGGCGTTAAAGGGCTTTGATTATAAGCATCGTTCGCATATGGTGGAATCACCATGTAAGCAATGTTGAGGTCAGGCGAAGGGTACTAGGCAAGACAACCAAGTTTATTGATGAGGTTATGAACCTTCATCAACTTTGACACGTACTACACATGCCAAGCCAGCTACCGCCTACCTCAACGTACTATGCTAGAGGAAGTTAGATATCGCTGTACTACAGGGATTTAAAATGACCAGACTAAAACGTGGTATCAATGCATTAAGTCCCTGACTGTTGGCCTGAACCGTGTAAGAAGATGTGGACTATCTAGTTGGGGTTCCATCCTATAGACATATTCATGACTATGTAAGTGATAGTATGATATTAGAATTCATTGATACCGTGGCGATATTATTGACTTTATAACAGTAGTAGAATAGAATAAGATAGGAATTCCCTTGGATAAAAACAAAACAAATTATACTCAAGTGTTGTTCTAATACTTGATGTTATCCTAACAACTTTCTAGTTTCCACAAAATCTCTGTTTCACAAGGATAAAAACAAGAACAACAACAAATAACAACACTAAAGGTTTCATTAAGTGTCTCATAAATAAAAATTATGATTATTATTATCATTATGGTTAGTATACTCTCAAGTTGAAGTTTACACAAATACTGATATCTCATATAACTCCTTATCGAGTAAATCCTTCGCTAACAGCATCTCCTCAATTGCTTACTTGTATTCTTATATCCAAATACCCAATAACATAATTAAATTTCACATCATCATCGCTATCAACATAAGAGTAGACGTTATTGTATAATACTTGAAGTGTAGAGCTGCAGCTTATTGACTTACAGAGATGACTTCCAACTATTAGATCGTGGGATTCGAACTCTGCTTCCTCCATTGAGGTTTAGATAACCAGATAGTATCATTACAGCCCTCAACACAAAAACTACGGTTCATTGTTTATCGAGTAAAAATGCACAAAGCTGTTGAGTTGATTTCATTCATTCAACGATTCAAGTTACGATAACTCATATCAGTACATTAAGTGAGAATACATAAAGAAGAACAATAGGGAAAGGTTTCCATTGTCAGGTCGAACCTCACCAGTAGACAAAGATTTTATACATTGATGCTACATTTCAATCTAGCTGCCCCAAACATTTTTCCAGCCTAAACTTACTTAAGCTAACATTGTGCTACAAGGAGGATGTTGACTAGGCATACAGAACATATAATTCGGTTAACTAAATCGATGAAGGTTCACAATCACATCGACTGGTTTCCCTGACTTCTGTTGTAATCATGGCTTATGCTACGAAGGTGACAGCAATCAACCAATAGAAGCTTTCTCATATCTTCTACCTTTATTGGTCATGCCTGACATCAATCCCGTAGAGCAAAGTGAATTGCAGTACAGTACACTGGCACCTAATAGAAAATCGGATATCGCAGTAGAACCATAGATGGTATAAGTCGGTGAAATTCATTCAAGCCATTTGCATCCGTACAGAGATTTTATTGGCCAGTGAACCACTAGAGTTGAATAAACTTCTCAGGTAAGTGTAAAGGGTTCAACGTACACAAAACAGCATCGAACCAATAGTTGATATGTACCTATTCCTGATTCAAGCAACGCTATTTTTCGAGGTACACCGTAATTCTTGGTGTCTTCGTCTAGCACTTTAGTCAAGCTTCAATATTATTGCATATTATTTCATCGGCGTAGAAAATACTGTAGGTAGACATAGCAAAATACTAACTAAACAAACATTTATAATTCAAGTTAGATTAAAATTTTTACAATTGCCCTATAGTATACATGAGTTTAGTTTTTTCTAAACAATAGACCAGTTAAACAATATTAAGATAACGGACATCAATCATACAGCGATTATAATAATACTCAGTCATTCAGTTGATTCAGTGAGATTTTGAGTGTATCCATGGAGAGAGATATGTTTTTCCCCTATCATTTCATTTATTCATCTGTCAGTGTAAAGAGATGATATAGTGGGTAGTTTAGTAAAGAAATATGACAAATGAAAAGGTAAACGTTAGTTGACAAGGTTATGAACCTAGTCGCTGATTGCTTCGTCACACAATGTTGACCAAAATAGGTCCAGGCTGGAAAAAGGTGGAAAAGAGGTGGCCTGACTAAAACGTGGCATGAATGTATGGAGTGCTTGACTGTGTGGTTTGAGCAATGTAGGGAGATGCAGATTAGCCGGTTGGGGTCCGCGGGGCAAGAGGAACCATTGGTTGGAGACTCTAGGTGATCACATGGCAGATGTATCCTCAAACACACTATCATCATCTTAACCACGCTGTACCGAATTCCATCATTTTCTCATTGTTCCGTTCTCTCTTTTAGTTACATATTAGTGTATTGTAGTGTGAAGTATATATATATATCAAGTCTTCAACTCGATGATATTATCTTGCTTCCATAATTGTAATAAGTGGACTAATCAGCGAATGAAGACCAACTGGCAGAAGATCAATTGGTAATTACTGTCAGATGACAGCTAAAACTGATTCCCCACCTTATACTATTCATTACACAAGTATAACACAGAATATACACACACACACACATAAGAGATGTTACAGTCAATTCTAATCTAATCGAAACTTACGGATGAACTGAAAGTGAACCCTCTCAGAAACAGATGTCACTCATTAAACAATGTCAATACTATAATGACTTAAATTCCCCATAAAATCAAATAATATCCCGCTTTATAGGAAAAAAAATAAACACCAACTTTTAAGTATATGACAAAAATCTTTCTTGAGATAATTATTATCAGAGGCTGATAAAATGAGAAATAAATATTCTCATTTTATAGGTTTGTGACGAATTATTTATTGATTTCAAGGTGGTATTTGTCATACATTGACGACAGTTGGAGAACTATCAAAAACCTGAGAACACTCTTGTTTCGTCCTCAGCAGTGCATAACCAAGATCCCTCCTAGTTAGCAGTTCAACCCATGACCCGGAGGTTAAACGATCAGTATATTAACATAAAACCAACAGCCCAGAATACAATAGGCAACATTCTTTTACTTCCCGATAGTCAGTATAAGTCGCATCTTCTTTCTTTCTCCCACCCTCCCTCTCTCTCGAACACACACACACACACACACGTATGGCTGTACAAAGTCATTCTTCAATCATTATAACCAAAGTCAATTCCATCTGAAAATATGAAAGCCTAATAAGATATGATTTCATACAACACAATAGAAAAGTACTCACTACAGTTTCATTATTCATTATCTACCATACTGTTTTCCCCTCTCCTCTCTTCAAACAGAAGGAAGAAAGTCACAGTTTTGAATATACTACATGCCACTAGCAAACCACATATTTGAAACATCCAGTTATTAGAGTCAGTCAAACAAACAAAACCAAAACAGCATCTCATACTGAATTATATCACTTTAAGATTCTACACTCCATAGCGCCATGCTCACAACTATAACACAGAAAAATAGTAGTATAAAACTTAACAAGTTTATGGAAGAGAAGGGAGTTTCAAAAAGAACGAAATCTAGAAGATGTCAAAGAGTGAATAAACCAACTACATTTCGATTGTATGTTAGAGGTTTTCCTCAAAAATCTCCACACGTTCATATAAAACTTGTGTGGCTCAGCACAACCAGCCAGTCTACACATACAAAAATCATCAGGTATTATATATCAAATGGGTTCTGCAATGTTACCCTCAGCTAGCACGCCCAACTCATCGTTTCCAAGCTGGGTTCCACTCCATGGCCTGACGTATGATGTCTCCGAATTGTTTTCTCAGTGTATGCTCAATACATCTCCACTTTCTTCTAATGCATATCATTCCGGTGATAGGTTGTTGCTCCGTTGGTTGTTTAGTTGCCAAACAGCCACAAACAGCCTCCTTCCTTTTTCTTATTATTCCGACCATCTCGTCTCCATCTTCAGTGTCAGTATCGAGTGAGAAAGCGTAGGTGGCAGTTATTCATGTGATCCATGTCTGCAGTTCGTTCGAAATGCTTTACACAAAGCGACAAATCTCTCAACCATCACATTAGAAGTTCTGACTTACTTCACTAACATTACATTAGTGTTGAAAATCTGTATCTTGTTCACGCTTTATGCTGACTAAAGTGCAGTGGAGTGCAGTGGAGTAGAGTAAAGTGGAGTTCACTTCAGTAGACCTCTACATTGATTATTTCAGATTAACGAATGAAGATCTGTGTTGCTCTATTTCCAAACCCAGCTGGCATTGACTTCCTCATATGTGCCTGTGCCGCCTGTAGTTGAAACGATGCTACCTAGCTAGGTAAGTAGGTATGCGAGTAAGGTGGTGAAAGAGATAACTTTCTTTAGTTTTCTCCCATTCATGGTGATTGGTGCTTCCTCTTCTTGTTGTTGGTTGGTTGGTTGGCTGGTTGGGTGTCTTCATCACCTGTCTTCTCTACATTCACCTGAAGGAAGTCCCATCTTCCTTCACTGACTCACCTCACCTCACCTCACATCTTGTGCCAACATGTTAGTTTTCACCTGTAGATCCTCGAGTTTGTGCGACAAGACATTATAGACGTAAGTCATCATCGGTGAAATGCTGATCATCCAGGGTGTTTGCATCGGTGAAGAAAGCGTATGCCTCTCTTCTCGCTCCTCACAGTTTGTTGCATGATCCAGTCGAGTCCAGTCAACCACAATGAGGAAGATGATAGGTGATAGTAGGTAGGCAACCTTGTCTTACTCCTGTCCCCTATCTTCACTTCAAATATATAACCTAGCTTTCAATTGTGAATCACTTCGCATGTTGCCTCGTCATATAGCGTATGGGTGTTGAATGAGGTTGATAAAGGTTTGTGACACTAAAAGTGTAGTGTTGAAGAAGCAACTACGTGCCAAATTACTTGTCGGTCGAGGCTACCGAAGACCTTTTCAAAATCGATGAAGTTGAGGTAAAGATCCAGTTGACTGCTATTCATTCTATGCTCTGTTTTATGATGATGCCTAGTGTAGTGTTACAATTTGATCCGCACATGATTTGTTTCTCCTGAATCCAGTCAGTCAGTCAGTCAGCTAGCCAGCCAACCAGCCTTTTTCGGTGGTAATTTTCAATGCGGAATAATTTTTGTTCTCTCCCGAATGATGTGGATTAATATTTTGTTCGAGGTGAACAGGAGCATGATTCCTCGCCAGTTGTTGCAAGTACTTCTTAGGTCACTGTTGTTTAGGTGTTAGACAAAGTAGCTCTTCTTCCAATCAATCGTGAGGTACCTTTCTTTCCTTTCTTCTTTACAAACCTTGATGATTTATGGTGTATGCCCATTTTCAGTGCTTCTGGAGGAATTCCATCTGATCCTAATGTTTTCCCGGCTTGCAGTTAAGGTATGGAGTTCAGGGCTTCTGATTTTGTCGGAGGGTCTGATATCCCTACATGGTTCAGATGAATAGTTATAGTAGAGTTGGCGGTATTAAAAAATCGAAATCACTGTATATCACCATCCTCATATGGCTTATCCTATGAGCTCTGTGATTAGTTCTTATCAGTCAATTAGAAACTGCAAAGAATGATGACTATATGTGAAATGAAAGCCTGGGTCATGGTATGATTCATCGAAACAGCAACCTCCAATGTTACCGGCCCATTGATCATTCCAACTGCTAATCACATCATAATTTGTACTGAATGAATAAAATGACTGGAAAATATCACATATTATTCATTAGCATACAATTTTACATGACCTTTATATATTCTGTATGATCACACAACAGGTTACGCGATATACCGAAACCCCATTGGCATTACACAATTAGCAGGGTGAATTGATAATGTAATATATAACCACATATAATACATAACTAAATTTTGATAAAGGTTAACTCATCACAATAATGGTGATTTTGTATATGTGTGTAGGATAATCATGGAAGCAAGTAATTAGTACAAACCACCAAAGGAGTATATGATAGTCAGTATCATGTTTATTTTCGCATATAATTCATACAAACCCCAAGTTTATTCCTCCGTTTAATATATGAATGATGAAGAACAACAGAAACAAACAAAAAAGTCATGTTGAGTAAAAAATTTCAATCTCATTTAGTCAATCGTAATGAAGAATAAAATGAAACGAAACACATAGGTAGTACTACCACCCGCTGTTTATAATGAGCGTGTACATAATACATATTATCAGAGATAAATAATTTTCAAGAATACTGAACTATAACACAGTCCAACAACTACTGACATGTACTTTTGTTAATATATCATTTTTATATTGGGTGATGATTGAAAGATAAATGAAAATTTAGACTACGACCAAATTTGAACCAATGACCACCGAGTTTTCGGCTCGGTGTTCACCTTCAATCATCATAAAGTATAAATACTAGTCTGCCAAACCACGGCTGTTGCCTAAAACATCAAGCGGTAGAAACGCGTCAAGAATTCGCATGGTAGTCGAACAAAACCTTTCATGACTGAAGTGAATTTAAAATCAGCGCAGCAGTTGGCCTTGTAGCTCAGTTCGTAAGGCACAGGGTCGAAAACCCAATGGTCACTAGTTCGAATTCAGCCACGGTCTAAATTTTCATTCCAACTACAATCATCACCTAGAATAAACATTAGTTAGCCAAACTATGGTTGCTATGTCAGATAGTCAAAGAATGATAATCAATATAATGCTCCCCAAACCTCCAATTCAGTTAGATTTCGATTGGAATGAGAAATACTCACTAGACAACAAGTTTGAACACGATCAAGTGGTAGAAATATGTTACGAATTACATGGTAGTCGGGTGAAACTCTTAGTGATTGATGAAGTGAAATAGAAATCAGATAAGTCGTCGGATCTTGTAGCTCTCAATTGGTAGAGCATCAAGCCGGGAACTTGGTGATCGCTGGTTTGAATCCAGTAACGGTCCACCTACAGACACCCGAACAATATCAGCACAAAAGCTGTCATTACTAGGTAACGGTTAAAACCAGTACATCACCTTTCAATGCACCAACCGAGAATGTAACAAGATGAGATACAGCCAAGGAACCTGAAGGTCGTGGGTGCGCAGTGCTGAGGAGTCCCATACTAAGATAAACACCTATCCAGTGCTTCCAGGTTTCCTTTGTTCCTACAACTGATGTCAGTCTAAAATGAATAACAACTTGAAATATTTCCAAATACCCACAACACCCTCAAAATTCAATTGAACTGGCGCTTATTGGTGACTAGCTTCGAGAGGTATTCCTCATTTTCCAATGAGAAGTCATGACTGGTGGGGGCAACGATGACATTGGGTGGTGGTTGAGCTATTTCGTAAGGTAACACAAGTTGGAAATATGAACCATTGGATTCTGACCCAGTGGCTAGCTCAATGGTAACGTGCTGGCTACGGAACCTGAAGGTCGCAAATTCGATCCCTGAAGGGCGGGGTCATGGGTGAGCACTGCTGAGGACTCCTATACTAGAAGGAAACAACTGGCTGTCTAGTGCTCCCAGATTTCCTTTGTTCCTCCAACTGATGTCAGTCCACGATGAATAACAACTTGAAATATTTCCAAATCTCCACAACTCCCTCGAAAAGAAAAACAGAAAAGAATAGTCAAAACTGTAGAAAAATTTGAGAAGAGGTAACTGGATCATTATACTTTCCATCAGACATCAATTAAAAAAATAAGAGTTTTGAAGAGATTAAATTACTTGAATACGCAAAAAAAAGGCAACAAAGTAACCACTAGCAAAACAGCAATTTCATTCGTGTATACATAATAAAATAAGCTGTCATTATCAAATGATACACCAGCATTGAGTTCATCCATCCTACCTAGTGTTATTGACTGTTTGACCGTATAAAAAAAATAGCAGAAAATAGTGTCAATTAAGTCAAAGTGGACACTTGATAACCGATTAGATGTTTCATCTTAATAGGATAGAAAATAGGAAGGTCAGCGTTTTGATTTTTTGAATTTTGAGGGGTTGTGGAGATTTGGAAATATTTCAAGTTGTTATTGATCGTAGACTAACATCAATTGGAGGAACGAAGGAAACCTGGGAGCACTGGACAGCCAATTGTTTCGTTCTAGTATGGGAGTCCTCAGCACTGCGCAACCATGGTCCCGCCCTTCAGGTTCCGTGGTCAGCACGTTACCATTGAGCTGGCCACTGGGTCACAATCTAATGGTTCATATTTCCAACTTCTGTTAGCTCACGATATGGCGCAGCCGCCAACCAATGTCATCCTTGAGTAACTGTCCTCACGACCATCAAGTTCTGTCTCACCGGTTCGATCCCCGGCGGGGTTTTAGGTGCGCACTGCTGAGGAGTCCTATACTAGGACGAAACAGCTGTCCAGTGCTCCCAGGTTGCCTTTGTTCCTCTAACTGATGTCAGTTTTTATTTTTACTAATTTTTCAAAAGATATTTCAATTAGTATACCTAAGATTTTTTGACATTGCTATGAACCAGATCTACAGCGTGTAACCAAATCAAAATTAATCCCAGAAACCATAGAAGTTTATGATGAGTCAAGATTTATATAAGATAGAAAAGACAGTAAAATGATAGGTCAACCAGATGGATTTATAGGCGTAAGACTTTGAGCCATACTTAGCAATGTGGTGGTTTGCGAAATGAAGAGATAAAAGATTTTTGAATGGAGTTATCTTCGCATCGCTGCACATGTATGACGGCATCACCTTGTGAGGGATGTTGAGGTTGGGTGACAGATACTAGGAAAGTAAGGGCAGTTAGTCGATGATGTTGTGAAGCTTAACCTATGCGGAGGGTTTCGACATGCATGATTAGTCACTGTTTACATCAGAGTGTGTTGATAATCAAAGTAAGATTGTGTTGGAAAAAGTCTCAGGATGATCATAGAAAGAGGTGTTAACCATGCATCAAGTTTCTGACTGTTGCTATCAGCAACGTATATTACCTGGCTGGAATCATAAAGATTATAGGAACCAGTGTTTGGGGACAATCGGTGACAATAGCGAAGATGCATTAACTATTTGACAGTTTGAATATGAAGGATGAAAACGAAAAACGAAGTTCATCTGTGCAAGGTTCTACATCAATTTCGTTGGCACA